GAAAAGTTTACTTTAATTAAATGTATTATGTCAATAGATTTCCCATAATTAGGTTAGTTGAAAGCAATAATATTACGTTTAAATAAAATGTAAAAACATCTTAATATTATTTCTTTCAACTAACCTAATGCAGTGATGTGAAATTTGTAAACATAATACATCCGATAAAAGTTAACGTTTCCGTTTTCTAAGTGTATTCCGTTTATATTTGGAACCATTTCTTAAATAATGTGTTTTTTTTGTTTTGTATTTCTTAGAAGTCTGCTGCAGATTTCAGAGAGAGAATCTCAGACAAGTACAGCAGGATCCGTGTTGTGCTGGACGGGGATGAGCGTCTGATGATGCAGATTATAGACGCAGAGGAGACGTACATGACAGAGTGGCTGGAGGCCCAGAGAGGCAGCATGGAGGCTCAGATCAAAGAGATAGACAGCCTGAGGGCCTCCAGCAAATCCCTTCTCCGAGAAACAAATGAGCTGCGATTCCTACAGGTAAATGTCTTGTACAAACATAGACGGATTAATGAACAGGCTTACTGGGCATGTGCAGGGTCTCAGCTGGTTAGGGGATCCCTAGGCCAGACCAGACCCGGCGTCATGGGCGGGCCCCATGGGGCCGGTTCTTATTATACATCCATGGGCCGGGCCCGCCCATCCAGGATTTGGGCCCGCCCATCCAGGATTTGGGGCCGCTGTTTTAATGAGGGCTGAATACAACATTTTAATTGTTTTATTATTATGTTCAGTGGCGGCGCCAGGGTATACTGGGGTAGGCTACAGCCATACCAAGAAATGGCTTAGCCCAGTGTTTCTCAAACTTTTTCATACCAAGGACCACTTAACCAATAAAAAAACACTCGCGGACCACCTAACTCCACAAATATCAAAAAACCCATCGTTTTTTACAAATCGCCTGAAAATTGTACAAACAAGTGGCAACATGTGTGATGAAGGTGCTTATCTGGGCTATATCATGCAATCGAAAGTGAAACTTAAGCTCGTTCCATTGCGGAGATATTCCCGCGAGAGTGCGAAAAACTGAAATACATTTATTTATTTCAAATGTGAAATTTTACCAATATACTCACGGACCACTAGGGGGCGCTCACGGACCACCAGTGGTCCGCGGACCACACTTTGAGAAGCACTGCCCCACCATGAAAAATGATTTTAAAGTAAGAAAAATAAAGTCCGCCAACTCGCGCGGAGTAAATTGCACAGACAGCAGTAAATACCGAAGACTAGAAACGGTTTGAAAACTTTTGTCACGTAGTGATCATCTTCTCGATAGAACATCTTTGATAATGTCTTCTGGCCAATCAGAATCACGATAACGACGTGGTGTTGTCGCTGGAAGTCCCGACGGAGAATACTTTTGCTGTAGTAGGCCTACATCTCTATACATCGATACAACATTACGTGTTGATAGAAATCAACACATAATGAAATAAGACCCCACGGTTTGATGATTGATAGGTGTGTGGGCTGTTTTTCATTTTGACACACAGAACAATGGGGGCTATCCACAATGTAAAGTAATTCACACAGCCTCTTCCCTCTTCTCTCTGTGAGGAGCAGCAGGTTCAGCTTTCAGAACAAAGTAACAAAAAACTAAAATGGCATTAATTTTTTTAAATATGTCATGTAGTGATAGATTTATTTATTTATCTTCTCAAGAGAGTACCAGAATGTGTATTTTATGTTAGTATTTAAAAAAATCTCCTGGGGGAGAATCCCCCCAGACCCCAGGGGTTGGGTTTTCAGCATGTCAACTATTTCACCTGTGGGGAAATTGCAGGATTGGCTCCAGGTCGCCCTTTTTATTTACAAGACAAATGTGCCTTTTTATTTCACACAGTTCCATTTGGATTGAGACAGGGAAATAATCTAAACCTCACGCGTGGCGTTTCACTGTCAAGGGGGGCGTGTATGTAATTACATTGCAAATACTGACTTGAGCCCATGGGTTAGCCCTACCATATTTACCCAACAAAAATACTCTGGAGCCGCCACTGATTATGTTTATTGTTGTTATTTGTAGGGCTTTGTCCTAATATTTATTTTTGTTTTAAACTATGTTGAAAGATTAGTTTAATAGCATTTTTTTTAAATTTTGCTATGAAATTCTGAATGAAAGGCTGCGCGCGAGACTGGTTTTTCGCTGGGTTAAGTCGTGTGGGTTTTTGAGTGAGATGCGGCACAGCAGCCTGTCAGTTTACTCTTGCTAGGTTAGTTTGGCTATTATCATTTATATTTATCTGCAACAATGGATATCAGGAAGTGGTTCACACTTATACACTTGAAAGGAATATGGCAACTCAGCGCCAGATGCAGGCACATTAGAAGACATCAGTTACGTTACCAACGAGTTAGCAAGCCAGCCAGGGACAAGGGAGGCTGGCAATCAATTATATTTTGAAGAGAAATTGACACTCAAACCGGCTCTCTCACATACTCCTGCTCTGTGCGCAAGCAGACCGCTGTACATGCTCTCTGCCTCGCTCAATCTCTCTCTCTCTCCCTTTCTCTCCATCGTTCAACCTTACTCCACCTTTCCAACCTGTGTGCGCTCAAGTTTGCCTGCGTGCTTGCCCAAGTTGGCAAAGCGTTACAAATGTGCCACAAAACCAACCAATGGATGTAGCCTATACTAAGACCGTCAACAGCCTTATGGCAACCTAAACCCCCCCCCACCTTGACAAATCTCGAGATTTCCCGGGAAATGTAAGTTTCGGGGTGGGCCCGCCCTGGTAAATCAAATGCCTGCCCAGTGCCCAGAGACGTTTGTCTGCCGCCGGGTCTAGGCCAGACCCAACATTTTTTATTGCGATGTCACAAAGGGGTATTCGATTGCCACAGGGACGCAAGATGACCTGTGAAGGAGTCAAAAAACGTCAAATTAAGAAGCCAAATAAGTCCAACAAGAGAAGTGCATCTACCAACACATGCATTGCACTAAAGACAGACACAATACATTACCAAAAAGAGATGTTGCACAACCTCAAAGAGATGCAAAACAATCAGAAAGAGACATATCAGTCCACAGAAGAGACACAAAATGACTACTAAAGGACGTGGAAAAAAACCAAAAGAGACATAATACAACCAAATAGAGACACAATAACACCACGTTGAATCATAAAACATCTACAGAGACACAAAATGATCAAAAAGAGAAGCAAACAACCAAAAGAAGATGTAACACAACCAATAACAGTTTTAAAAAGACCATAAAGAGACACAAAAACAATACAAATAGATGCAAAGCCCTTTACATGTCTGTGCACAGGAACCCATTGCCTCATAATACGACTCTATGTGTACAAATGTTTTCTGCTATCGCGATATGTGCCAGACCAAATGATCTGTTTATTTCTTCAACAGCAAATCACTGCACAGAATCGTTGGTGAGTAAACGGTCACTCTGTTTGTAATTACCACATTCCATTTATTTCCTTCTAATGGTTTTCTGTTCCTTTTTTCTAGCGACCCTTTAGATTTAGCACCAATCCAGGAAGTAGACAAAGATCTGTGTGACCTTGAAAAGCTGAGAACAGTAGAGAGGCTGGTGGATGACCTCTCAGTGGCTCTGTCCCAACACTTTCCCAGGATGTGGTCATGTAAGTAAAGCATCCAATATTATGCAGTCTAAAATCAACCTCCACTAGTTGTGTACCGACAGTATATTTTTTATTTACAGATCTAAGTTCTCCTGCTCTGGACTCCAAGTCAGCCCATCCGAAACTGGAAATATCCCAGGACAGGAAACAAGTGTACTGGAGAAGGCCGTCTGTCAGTGAAGCTCAGAGCCCTCAGCCATATGACTCCCAGTGCAGTGTCCTTGCTCAGGAGTGTTTCACTACTGGTCAGCACTACTGGGAGGTCATTGTTCAGGAGAAACCTTACTGGCTAATGGGTTTGACCACAGGGCCAGTCGATAAAAAAGCTGCTCCAAATCACAGTTCCTCCAGCCTGGGTGTAAACAACACATCCTGGTGCATCTACCATGGGGACGGGAAGTATCTGGCCTGCCATGACACCCAGGAGAAGCTGCTGTCGGTGGGAAAGAGAATCAGGAAGCTGGGCATACTGGCAAATCTCCAGAAGGGGGAGCTGTCATTCTACGACGCTGATGCAATGACTCTGATTCACTCTTTCTGTGTGCAGTGCACTGAGCCTCTTTACCCCATGTTGAACCCCTGCATTGATTTACATGGACTGAACATGCAGCCTCTTACCATGTTTTGGATTAAGGACCCCTGAGATGTAAACAGAAACGGGGGCAAAGACTAAAATGGCTTACTGATGATGTGTGTTCATCACTTGTCCATGTTTATTGGGTTTTTGCTCTCATTAAATAACCTTAGGAACATTTCAAACATCCTCTGTCTGGATCTTTCCCGGTAAACTATGATCAAGGAATTTACCTACCTCTATATTGAAGTAATAACGAGAGCAGTTAAAGATAATGAACATATCAGCAGCAATATGATGTTCTGATACTATATCATTGTGATCCTATAAAGCTGATGTTTTATAGAAAGCTCTTAAGTACATATTGGTGTCTAGTTCATGATTCATAGTTGTTTTCAGTGTCATGAGCAGTAAATATTTAATAAGTGGTATCGGCTGCACCCTCCCTTAAAGAGTGACAAAATAAGAAAATGTAATCCTGTCGATTATATAAATGATGGTAGTCCTCATATACTGTAACTGTGCCATCATCACTGATGCATTTGAACACATTTCTTCAATGAAGGATTGGGATGGGGGTTATTTTCCAACAGTCCTCTCAAAACTGACTTACAATTATAATGTAATTCCTGTTGAGAGACTAAGAAAAACTGAGCTTGAGTACTAAGAAAATATGACACCATTTCCCATGTCTCTGGTTTGTCACATTTGAAATGTATCGAGTGTTTTCCTTTTCTCCACACTGGTCATTTTAATAAATTTGGGATCACCTTGGCTAGAATAAAAGTAAAGATTCAGGGGAAAAAACAAAGAAATATGACATTTATTTGATCTGTTCCTGACGTAACACATTAAACAGAAATGACACATTTTCTTAATTTCTTAGGATGGTTTTATTAAGAAGCATATGAATTTAAAATGGTATTTGATTACCAGATACAACTGCGTATAACCAAAAAGCGAAGTCATGATGAGTAAGACTTGATAACCAAGTCCTTTCGCTACACTGGCAAGATGCTGAGTAAGAGAGTTTGCTTATGCAGATGCTGCTTGTGTCTTTGACTTGATCCAGTCCAGGAAGTGAGTGACCCTTGTGTAGACCCCGGGCTTGTTCTTCCTTCCACATTTGTCTCCCCAACTCACCAGACCATAAACAACGCTGTTGGTGTTCTGCTCACATGTTAATGGTCCTCCAGAATCACCCTGAAACACGAGCAAACAGCTGACCAGATAGCATAAACACACACGTTTTAAAAGTTTACTGCAGGAAAGTAAGTAAGTCATGCAGATATTTGGACCGATGGGAATTTTCCTCTACTAACCTGACAGGAATCTACCCCTCCCATCAGGTGGCCAGCGCAGAACATCGTGTTATCCAGGACGCGGCCATAAATATCGGGTTCAGCGCACTTCTCCTGGTTAATCAGCATTACATTGGCCTCCAGCAGGTGGTTGGAACCAGTTTGAGCTGCAGAGAGAAGGTAGAACAATTAACAAATGCAACAAAACTTTCATACAGAAGCCGCTTCTAACTTCAGGGGTTGTGTGCAAATACAGATTAAGGATATAGCTAAAACAAACAATCAATCCTCTAAAATAAACTAATCTTAATTTGATCAAGTGTATGAATATGTGAAAATGGCCTTACATTCTTCTGTGGCACCCCATCCAGAGATTTTACAATCCATCCCATCAGGCAGCTGGGCATCAGGCAGACAGGCGGTCTTCACAAACTGAGTCTCATTGGCACAAACACCATCAGTGCCTTCCAGCCTTAATAAGGCTTTTAAAATGAAATTTGGATAAGATTACAACAAGTCCTCACATCCAATCCTTATTCAACTATAAAAGATCAAAGCTCAAAAGGATAAATGAAGTCAAAATGCTCTTGTTGGTAAGAAATACGTTGCTTGTATAAATTGAGAGAAAGACTTGGCTCACCTATGTCATTGTAAACAGCTTCACTAGTCTCTCTGTAGTTCTCATGCAGGATAGCCTCTTGAACTTTTATGACTTGCTCTGTGGGTTCCTCATCATTCAGTGACAGACTTCCTAAAACCACCTGCTTGTCCATCATTGGTTGACTGTGCAACAAAAACAAATAACACATGATTCAATAAATATTAAAGCAAAAATACATATTCTTTCTTTTGACCAAATTCTATGTGCCCAGTGTTGGAGATATGGAATTAAATAGCCCTTAGTTTGTGATGCTCAAAGCGCCACAAATACATACAACAGCAATGCGTTTTCAGAGATCCTGACACAGTTACTCATACATACTGTTGACCCTGTTGTGAGCTTTTTCATTTAGGAACTAGTATCGTTCTACCTTATCGACGTGCAAGAAAAAGCTTGCATCTTCTCATGGATGAGGGGCTCATGCTTTTGCTTGTGTGAGATTTAAACATGAATGGTGTCCTCCGGTATAGTTGCACACTTTGTTCTTTATGGTTCATAGATAAATCTGCTCACAACAAGGTCTGTAAATTATCTTAAGTATAACCACGTCATGATTTCTGGATTGGGACATCACTGTTCAATCTTTTGGGGTATTGAGCACCAAAAGCCAAGTACTGTCTAGTTACATTAAGCTTGAGAGAAGGCTGGAGGTTGAACTGTCCCTTTTATGTGATATGTTTACCATTATCAGCCAATGTGTTGTGTTTTTTGCTGATTTGCACTCAATAGTTTGGTGCTTACATGCAGTGTCCAGCCGTCAGCACCCAGCAGCTCTCGATGAGAACTCCTCCACACGTGTGTGTGAAGCGCTGGTTGGAGTTCTTTGGTTTCACTTGCAGGGACACCTGCCAGGGTACTGCCCCGGGAGGGACCTTCAGACCCCCAAAGATTCGGGTAATTTTCTTTTTCGGCTGAGCCTTCCCGCAGGTGGCGAACTGCTGCGGTCCAGGGGTGGCGGTAGGGACGAAAGTCTCCTTAGTTGGTGTAGGAGAAGCTGTTGGAGCCTGGGTGGGGTCCTCAAGGTTTACCGGGACGATTGGAGGTATTTCAGGCTGGGGGATGGCATCTGTAGGGACGATGATAGTTGGAACGATGACAGTTGGGACGATGACTGTTGGGACGATGTCTGTTGGGACGATGTCTGTTGGCGTCTCACCTGAAAACACATGCACAAGAAGATGACAGAAGAAAGCACATTTTTTCAGGGGAGACACTGCAGAAGAATGGGGTAAAACATTTAAATAATAGATTACATTTAACTTCCCAAGTTGATTATTTAAACTAAGACAATTCTAGTTTGTATTACCATTTTCCTCAAATTAAATGTTTAAATATGCAAATGAGGCATTATCTCATGAGAGCTTGAAATGTGCTAAATTACAATTGAGTAAAAGGTTTTTAATTCAACTTTGAACTGAATTGTTTTGTATTATTATTTTATTCGTATATATATATGTGTGTATATACTTTTTATATGAGTTGGTATTAAGTGTTTTGTTATGTGTTACCTGATTACCTGGGAAGGGGGGGATAGTATTGTTTTTATTTGTAAATTGTCTATGTTGAAGCATTTTGAGTTACCTTTGTGTATGAAAAGTGATATACAAATAAAGTTCATTTGATTTGATCATGCTCAGGAGGCCAACAGTTCATTTCAAACTGTAAAATGTATGTGTGGAAGTGTAGAGCTATTTGTGACGTGCTCCTGGACGGTCAATCAATCAATCAATCAATCTAATTGTATTTCTATGGCTCAGTATCAGAAATGACAGTTGTCCAAGAGGGCTTTAGTTAGAGCATAGCACGATCAATTAACACTCTACAGCAGTCTGCATTGATCTTTGAATTCATGTCAGTGATTCTCACAGTATCTGCCTATATCTGCGTTTCTGCATAGTGGCTCGTCTGAAGCTTTACCTGTTGGTACGGGACACTCTATGACATTACAAGTGTCCCACAACAACCTGGGGCCTTTTCTGTAGAAGCACCAGGGCATCGATTCTCCGTCTGGGTTTCTGTGTCATAGAAACATTTGTGAGTGAGCATCCTCCTGTAGATGTCCTCTGCTATTATACTTATTAATGTTATGTTCGCCCTACCTGCAGAAGTTGTGAGGGCCAAGTCCATCTTGGTCCTCGAAGGAGTTAAAGGGATCCACTCCTTTCTCCAGGATGAAGTGAGAGTTCCAGTGGAGGCATTCGTGGTCATCATCTGTCTCACTCACAGTGCCACGATACGACTCTCCGTCACCCACGTAGCAGTCATCTGGGCCTAAGACATATACCTCACCCAGTCAGTATATGAGTAAAATGATGCATATATTGGGTTGTGAGAAGAAAAATAATATTTTCACTTGTCGTATTTACCAACATGGCAGAAACGTCCTCTAAACCCTGCTGGGCACTGGCAGTCAAAGTCATTGCCTTCATTGACGCATTTTCCACCATTCCGACATGGATTAGGCTTACATAATGAATCTTTGTAGAGAAACAGTTCACAGTGAAAGTGTGCTCTCAATAACTGTAGCAACTTGTTGAAACATTTTTGGACAAAGACCAATTCTTACAGTTTCTGCAGTTTGGAGGCTGGAAGGGCGCCTTGCATTTGCACTCGTAGTATGGGCGAGTTGAAATCAGGACACATTCACCACGCCCGCACCTACCTCTTCTACAAGCCTTTGGACCTGTGATGATACAGTAGTTTTAACTTACCGTTGCTTTATACAAAGACATGGTAGAAAAACATGGTACTAATTGTCTTTTTTACAAACCTCTCTGGCATTTCTTTCCCTTGAAAGGTTTGGGACAATCACATTCAAAGTTCCTTTTCCTTCCCTCTTTTTCCTCACACAGTCCATTGTGGTGGCAAGGGTTTGGGTCGCAATGGCCTAAGAAATGAGAAAAGTCAAGAGGGGAACATAAGCTGGAATCAGAGCTTTCCAATATTATGTTGACAGGAGTTTGAACTCTCTTACCTTCTGGCTCTTGAAGTTCAAAAAGCCAGTCCGAATTTGATTCGTCATCATCGTCATCATCCCCAGCTTCGTCCCGGATCGTAAAGAATATGTCTAAAAAGATAATCTTACTTAATTAATTGTAAAGTATTATTGCCATCCTCCCACCTTTACCCTTTAAAACTAAATGTCACAAATGATTTAGCATTCATGCTCAAATCCAACAAGTGAAAATAATCAGAATTTACATGAATGGTAAAAAAACAGTAATATATTCATTCCTAATTGCACATCATAGGAAAATATATAAAAACGAGATACATCAAAAGTACAACACAAACACACTAACCGTTAATTATGTCCTCAAATCTTCCTCTTTTTTTGTCGCCTTTTTGATGGCCATGTCCTCGAAGCTCATCAGCATGATGATCATGTTTTTTCTTTTTGCGTTTTAGCTGAATAATAATTTGACAGTACCCCATTAGTCATAAGTATAACAGATATAGTGCAGTAGAAATGTGTTGCAGTGAATGTATCTTGTTTAACAGAAACTTCAAGATACTGTTGATACATTTTATTAAAAAGCCTTATCAAACAACATTACGAATAACACTCAATACATTTGCTAAATGCTACACAATTGCTGTATATACAATGAATACATACTTCAGCAGGTTTGAGGAGCACCGCCAAGAAGAGGCAAAAGAAGAGGAGCTTTAGGTTCATGATGGCAGGGGCTCAGAGGACTTCCAGAAGAGTGAGATGGGAGTGCACTGCTTGGCAGATCACACAAACTTTTCTAAGCATTTGGTTAAGTTCACTAACCTTTGATCCTGCTGGGTTCAGTGCCGCCCCTGTTGGTGAGTCACATTTATCGATTTTAACTGTGCTCTTGGAAACTTGTTTCTCCGTGATGAAGGCAAAACATGTTAGTGAATACTTAAAATAGACCCAAAGAAATTATAAAAAATGTTGACCCTCTTGAAAAAACGTTGACCCTCTTGAAACATTTTCCCTTATTAAAATTCATTATAACACATTTTGAACAAACAGCATAACTGAGTACTCAGTTGCAACATTAAGGCTCAAAGAGCATATTTGCATATTTGCCAATTGTTTGTTTGAGTATAGACTTTGAATGTAAATAAACTCAGTGCATTTCAGGATAAGTTTTAGATCTCGTACAACATAGAAAATCAGTAAAGTGTATTCCTTACAGTGTACTCACAATCAAAATGATCACTTATATACAATTATCACCAACTTTTATGACTTTCAAGTCACCTTTTTTAAACAAGACTTGTTATAAAGAAATACTATGTTAACTAAATATGCTTCAATATGATCCTTTCTCTTAGTTTATTAAATGTAATGTGCAGTGAGATCTTGTTCAAAAATAATGTATATAAGGAGCTGTAATCCTACTTGACATTTTTACCACATTGTATCTGTTTGTCATGTGAAATATATTCCATTATTTAAAATAGGGTTTTAGTATCAGCAAGAGTACCCCTTTCTATTGAGGCCCCCTTTATAAAGGGTTTTATAACTAATAGCTTTAATATATGTCAATGAAGAACTTAATGTTTTATAGATTATGTCTATCCTCGTTTAACATGAAACATTTAGTAAACTCATAATTTTATAACAAATGAATTAGGAAAAAACATTGACCTCTACCAATAACTTATAAACCTTTATAATTAGTAAATAATTGGAAAGTGATGCCTCAGCAAGGAATTACGTAAAATAAATGTGTGGAGCCACTCATCCTTGATCACTAGTAGGAGATGAAGCATTACAGATCACAATAGGATTAGCATTGGCGCCCTTGTGGTCATGACCCGGACACACGGCCAGGTGGAGGCAGTCTGAGAAAGTTCCTGCACAGAAGGAGAACAGCGGAGTCATGTTCTCCACCTCAAGAAACGTCACCAATCCTGCGGGGAAACTACACAGAACACCAATCCGGCTGAAGCGTTTCGTGAAAGGCAGCTGATGGGGCAACCCTCCGTGCCAGGCTGTATACTCCCCATCAAAGAACTCCACGCACCAGGACTCAACCCCCCGGCCCAGCCAGCAGTCCTCTGTGTTGCCCTTTCGGGGAATGCTGGGATAAGTGACGCCTAGCTCCCAGTATGTCTTCTCACTCACATCAATCTCCCAGTAATGGCGACCACAGCTGAATCCTTGCACGCTGATGACATTGAGGGTGGTATCAAAGCGTCCAGGGAGGTCCGGGAGTTGTTGCCAGGTGTCGGTATAGGTGGCACTGTCACCCTGGGGGGAGATGACCAGCTTTGGGTGGGACGTCTCTGGATCCAGATACACCTGGCTGAAATCTGGAGACACAATTGAATCAAGTTTTATACAGACAGAAAACTAAAAGCTCAAGTTGTATTTATGAATATATATAACACTGACAACTGTGGGTGAGTTTCCTGATTAAAGGGGTCTGTGAGCTGATGAACAGCAGCATGTTGTGGGTGAGGCTGAGGATCTGGTCAGCTTTAACTTCATCCAGGCTCACACTGCTGGGGTCTGTCCTGTTCAGCAGATCCATCACTCTGGAGGAGGCAGACAGCAGAGAGATTAGCCGCTGCTAATGCTACTGTTTTCATCATTGGTTTTGTTTTGATTCCATACCTGTCCACTGTCTCTGTGTCCCGCTGCTCAGGGAATGAGAAGAAAGACTAAGGAAAAATGCAGAAAAATTAAGATCAAATGAACTTTGAAAGGAAAATGTTTGGTTTCAATACACAATAGTACGGAAGCCCTAAGATGCCAGATTATTCTGGTGATCAATTTTCTAAGGCTAGTTGTCTGTCCTGCTATTATGATTCATGTCATGATGTATGTATTTGCCCTGTGCTGTGTGTTGTACTTTTTATTGTCTGTTTATTGTATGTTGAATTGTATGGAACAAGCTGTAATACTCTGCACTGAACACGAATTCCACCAGCCTGGCTGTGTGGTCATTAAAGATTCTAATCTAATCTAATGTGAAAACAAAGGTTTTGCCGGGATAAAAGTTGATTATTTTTCTTTTCATCTGTGATAAAGATAGGAACGTTTTCATCTTACTATAATGACAGACCTCAGTGTGTGTATGTTTGAGTTTGGATTATCTCGCTGTTAGGAAAATATCACTCGTCACCGGCTTGATCTTCAATATCAGGATACATGTATTTTTTATCCTTGCAAGAATGGAAGTAGTCATCACATACAGAGCTGCATGGGACACAATTGTTCCCAGAACAGTGTCCTTCACTGTGGCGGCGCTAGGGGGTGGCTACTTGGGCTCAAGCCCCGGATGTTTTCTGAAAAGCCCCGGATGTTTCACTTAAAAAAATAAATGTCTCGGGAGTAATGTGCAGTACCGGAGTCCACCAGAGAGGCAGCCGCTGCGGGACATTAGCCTGCATACTGCGTATGAAGAAGAAGTGATCCTTCCTAGTGCCTGACAAATTTTAAAGGGATAGTGGAAATCCGCGAATTTTGGGTTTAACTTATGTATTTGTATTAAAAATAAGCATAATAAACAATTTTTTTTAATTTCATGTGCCTAGTTTCATTTTATTTTCAATTTTACTGCGCCCTCTCAATGAAACGAAATACTTCGGGAATCGTCGGGAATCTTCGGGTGATGACGAGAGCAGAGGAAGACGGGCACAAACAATGGCGGACATTCAATAGCATTTGCATGTGAATAGCCGACCTTTATTATGGTGAATAGATGTGTTTTGTATGGCTGTAGTGCGACAGCAAATGCAGAGAATGGCGTATCGACTCATGCGTTTCCAAGAAACCCAGCCATTCGTCGTCAGTGGGTGAAATTTGTTCAGAAATTTTCACTATAGGTAATACTATAAGACTGTAAGACGGCAATACTTTATACCGGGTATATTGCCATAAATATGATGATTGATTATCAGTAAAAAATTCTACGTGACACAACGACATTGGATTAACCTTGAGATGCGTTTTTATTCCGTTGAACACAACTTTTGATAACAAATCAAAAAAGGTAAGACGTAATTATTGTAATATTTTTGGAACCGGATGTTGTTTACTTTCTCTTTTCTGGCTGATAGCTCCAGGAATTCGAGGTCTTACAGTGATGACATTACATCTGTGGAGTCTCAGCTTTAAATCGTATATCTTGTTTGTGCAGTTAAGATAGTAATAAGGACATTTCCACCGTGTGTTGTGTGTAAAAAAGCGTTAGCATTAGTTAGCATTGTTTCGCTCAATGCTAATTCAAAGGCTTGGTATTACTCTTGTGTTTTTTCTAGCTAACAATTGTTCTTATTGTCAGTTAGCGGAGTTTCTTACCTTTAAAAGGGTATGAAACATTAATAGTTTCATAAATGTTAAGAAGCCCTGAGACATGTGAGAGAAAAAAAAACTGTGGGAGGGGTCCACTGGGGGGACCTTCGGGCTTAACTGGTTAACAATGATTAATATTTGTAAAGGCTACAGGTGATCTTAAGATGCGTGAGCTATGCTTAGGGACCTACCAGTCAAGATTATTTGTGCGTAGGGGTGCATCATCTGGCGCCTGGTCCTGGTCATCCTCGCCATTGCCCATGCCGTGAACCATCACCTCGGGCTCGGGCTCGAACAAATAAGGACGTAATGGTCCATCGTCTGGCTCAATATTCTCACCATCGTCGCTTACTGAACCGGATTCAGATTCAGTTCCTAAAACGACATTTTCGTAGGAAAGCCGAGAGGATGTTTCTGACTCGCTATCATCACTGGATACCTCGTACAATCCTTCTTCTTTGTCTGGTATATTTGCCCTTCCACGTTCATTCTGCATAGACGCCATAGTTTGTTATCGTATCGTCTTCCTGAGTTTTCGTCACTTCCGGTTTGGCTGAGTCGAACATTTCGTTTCTAAAAAACTTCGGGGAAGCTGCAATAAAGTGCTTCTAACATGCGTAAGGCAATTATTATATTTTTTTAATCAGGTGTGATTGTTTTGGTACGTAATTATGCTTGTATATAAGTTAAAACGAAACTATTTGAGGTTCCATTTCCACTATCCCTTTAAGCTAATAGCCTATAAAGTTATGGATTTTAGAAAGCCACAAGCTGCAGCAGCAGTATCAGCAGCTGACAACAATGTCATCACCAGCAGTGAAGAAATGGATGATGTTTCAGGTTTGTGAATCTAATGGTGATATCTGCTGAGTAAGAAGTGAAAAAGAGTGATGTAACGTTAATGTTATAGCTAGTAAACATGGAGTAACCACACTAAGTATACCCTTATATGTTATATAACATGACTACAAATTATCCTAAGATGTAACGTTAACTCTTCATACCTCAGTCTACTTTTAAGACACCAAAATAACGTATTCCAATTATTTATTTTTTTCCGCGCGTGGAATTATACCGGCTCTCGTTTCAGTACACATAACAACGGAACCATAGCAACGTAACTGACAGGCAACCCTCTGAATCAGACTCCGATTGGCTGTGACTGCATCCAGTCAGAGTGTCCGATTCAGAAACGTGACTCTTACACTCTTTACGTCACAAACAAAGATGGTGGATGAGAATAGATCTATAAAACGATAAGCAATGCCCCAGAATCAAGGTGAGACTATCCACATCCTTTAAAACGATAGTTACGGCTGTAACTACGGTTCTATGAGTCCCGGATGACCGCCAGAGGCGGTGCTTTAGCACTGGATGTGTCCATCGCGCGCATGCGCAGCTCGAGTACCAATACCAACAAAGTCACCTGTGACCCACGTGACACCGGCTATATCAGCCGGTGTCATCAGTGGATCTGTTCCCAGAATCTTCTCGCGAGCACACACGAATTCTGAGTGACAGGATACTCTGGCGGTCATCCGGGACTCATAGAACCGTAGTTACAGCCGTAACTATCGTTCTATTTCGTCCCTACTGACCGCCAGAGGCGATGCTTTAGCACTGGATGACCTATACCAACCATGTCATGAAGAATCCAAGCACTTACTCACCTAGCTGGAAGCAGCGGAGCTTGGCAACAGGACCACACCCAGAGGGTGAGGAGTGGCGACATTGACTCGGTAGAACCTGGAGAATGTGCCAGAAGACGCCCATGATGCCGCGGCACAGATGGTCTCCAGGGGCACCCCTCTTAGGGCAGCCCACGATGTTGAGATGCTTCTTGTAGAGTGGTGTCTGCTGTGGTTAGCATATGGAAGGGCAGTACCCTCAAGAATCTGTTGATTCCTCTGAGGTCCAGAACTGGACGGAATCCGCCAACTTTCTTGCTCACAAGAAAGTACGCCGAGTAGAACCCCCCGCCCTGAAGCAGGGGGTCCACTGGCTCGATTGCGCCCTTGGCCAAGAGGACGGACAACTCTTGGGCCAGAGCTAAGGCCTTCGCCGGGTCGTTGACAACTGTCATACTGACCCGGCCGAAGGCTAGGGGCCGGCGTCGGAACTGCAATTCGTAGCCCTGGGTTAGGGTGGAAATCACCCAAGGGTCGGAAGTACAGGCAGCCCAGTAGCTGAGCTGCTGCTGGGAAAAACAGCCGACGACCGGCCTCAGGACTTCAGGGCCTAGCCCCCCGGCCCCTGGGGGGCGCCGGTAAGGCTCTGAAGCACGAAGCCGCCTGGAAGCCAGGCGACCTGGGGCACGAAAGCCATCGGCCGGTTGAGTGGGCCGCTGGGACCTCTGCAGACCACCCCTGTAAGCCAGTGGCTGAGTGCGGCTGCTAGAGCGGCCCCTGGGCCTGCTGGGAGTGGCCACGGGTCTGCGAAGACCCGAGAGCTGCTGCCTGGTCTGCCTAGCTTGCCTAGACCCAAACAGCTCCCCTGGCACGACTGGCACGCTACGGAGGACTCTCCTACATGTCTCCGTCAGTGGTGACCGAGCCAGCCAAACCTGGTGACGAGTCTGTACCAGAAAGGACATAACTCGTCCCAATTCCCTAGTCATTAGGGCAAAGGCCTGCAGTGATGCATCACTGAGGCCCAGCAAAGAAGGCTCGGCCGGAGCCTGCTGCAGCGAGGCGGAGACGGCCAGCATTAGATGGGAGAGGGAGTTCCCGATACGACCCATGCGTGCTGCTGCGTTGTAGGCCCTACAGAGCAGCCCATCTGTGACCCTGCAATGAGGCTGAGGGCACCTGACCACAGGCCTTAGAGCCTCGTCAGGAGCCAGAATCAGGGAGGCGATGGCAGGCTCAATGGGTGGCATGCCACCCAGCCCCACCCTCGCCGGGTCCTGCATGGCAGCCAAGGTCCGGGCATCGGAGCCAGCGTGGCCGAGGGCCCTGGTGTTCCTCCAGCATGCCTTGAGCTCCCTCAGGTACTCCTCTGAAGGAGGAACGGTGAGGGGGACAGGGGCTGGGCTACGCCTGAAGAAGGCACTAGCCTGAACTAAGTTGGCCTGCGGAACCGGAATCTGCAGGTGCGCCAGGGCCGTACGAATAATGGCCGCCATGGAGTCGTCATCCACGCCCTGCCGAGACCCCTGAGCAGAGGAGAGGGAAGCCTCCTCGAGCGGGAACTCGTCCTCCGTCTCTTCATTGAAGAGGTTAGCCGAAGCCGCTAGCGACAAGGCATCCTCATACAGAGGGGCGGCAACCGAAGGAGGGGCAGGCGGCACACTAGCAGCACCTATACCGGGCCCTGGCTGAAGGGCCAAGAGAAGCGACTTCATTGTGTCCATGTCGGTAGCCAGCTGATCCACTTTAGAGGACAGCCTGTTTCTAGTCCTCCTATTGGGGGGTGCACCTATGGCCATCGCTCCCTCAAGTCGCCGGGGACGGCCAAACTGATCTGGAGGAGGATGCTACCAAGAGAGGTGTCCGTTGGCTGCCGCCAGCTGTTCCACCTCAGTGAGTCTAGCCATTCTGAGTGCCCGGGGCATGCAGCTACAGTTCATGCAGGCCCCTACCGTGAGAGCCTCCCTTAGATGCTCGAGGCCGAGGCAAGAGGGGCAGCGGTCATGGCCGTCCTCGGGCTCAAGAGAAGCCATACAGGCGCTACATGCATGAGCCATTCTGTAGGTAGCCAGACGCAGCGTAGCCGGGAGCGGGTGCGGGAACACAGCCTTCACCAGCTACCTGCTTCACAGAAAGAGTAGAGCCGCGCCGCTACTCGCCAAACAGAAAGAGGGATGTAAGTATACCCACGTTACCGGCAGAGGGAGCGGGAGCGAGAGCACTGCCTTCACCTAGCTGGGTTAATAAATAAGGCAGTTTACCAGGAGCGGGGGCGAGAACACTGCCTTCACTGGTTGAGCTAGAGGCGAGTGCCAGATGCAGCGTAGCCGGGAGCGGGTGCGGGAACACAGCCTTCACCAGCTACCTGCTTAACGGGAACCGGGCAATTTAGCGTCTACCAGGAGCGGGGGCGAGAACACTGCCTTCACTGGTTAATTTAAGACAAATGCCAGATGCAGCGTAACCGGGAGCGGGTGCGGGAACACAGCCTTCACCAGCTACCTGCTCAACGGAATAAACGAGGCAGTTTAGCGTCTACCAGGAGCGGGGGCGAGAACACTGCCTTCACTGGTTAAATTAAACACGAGTGCCAGATGCAGCGTAACCGGGAGCGGGTGCGAGAGCACAGCCTTCACCAGCTACCTGCTTAAAGGAATAAACAAGGTAGTTTGGCGTCTACCAGGAGCGGGGGGCGAGAGCACTACCTTCACTGGTTAAATTAAAGACGAATGCCTACCTGCTGAACGGGAAGAGTAGAGCGGTGCTGCTACTCGCCCGAACAAACAAAGGGGATGTAGCTACACCCCCAAATCAAGAAGCTTTACACAAGCTAAGACCGGAAACTGGCTTCTAAAGAAAAAACAGCACGGGAAACTCCGGTGCTTAACACGGCGTCAGCCGAGTGGCTGCAGCGCTACTGCTAACTAGCTCAATGCTAATGAAGTTCGCAGAATAAGTACAAAAGCACAGCAAGGGCAACTCCTGGGAGAGGGAGCGGAAACACCTCCGTCACCATAAAGTTGAAGCCCAAAAAGCAAAACAGACAGTAACGGGACAACTAGGCTGGGAGAGGGAGCGAAAACACTGCCATCACCAACCAAGCCGACACCAACCTGTCCGAACGAAGTCCCTGCGCAGCCAGCCACAGCTCCTGGAGGACGGGTAAACCCGCGGCCCCGACTGGATGAGTTCGCGAAGCTGCACGCAGCCAGCTGTTTGCAGAGAATCCTTAACAAATATTCCAACCGAACGAACGCTGTAGGTTACAACAAATGTAGCCAAGGTACTCTCGCGCAGCGAGAAGATGAAAGGAACAGATCCACTGACGACACCGGCTGATATAGCCGGTGTCACGTGGCGGGTCACAGGTGACTTTGTTGGTATTGGTACTCGAGCTGCGCATGCGCGCGATGGACACATCCAGTGCTAAAGCACCGCCTCTGGCGGTCAGTAGGGACGAAATAGAACTCTACGCACATTCGTTTCACCGAAATAAGTAAACTACTGTATTTGAGTGAGTTAAGCCATTAGTTTGCTTCATTAAAGGGTGTTAATGAATAAGTGTTCTCCAGTGCCTTTTGTCCGCTTTAAGGTATTATTAAGGTAGGGTTAATGTTGCTCTC